GACGGCTCCTCCGCCACCTGGCGCCGCTCGGAGGCCCACTTGGCGCGCAGCAAAGTCGCCTCCTCCTTGGCCACCAAGGCGCACTGCTCCACAGAGCGCTGGGCGCCCTTTCGAAGCGAGGCACATGGCCCCAGGGGAGCTCGCGGGTCCAAACGTTGGAAGCAAAACCCCAATCTTCAATAATTCAATCCCCATTTTTGAGCAACGCCAAGGTAGGCTAAAACCCAGCAAAATAGTTTGAACTTTGGAAATTGGATCACACGCCCCGTGCTTGAGGGATTGCATTGGAAAAACCAGGGATACGGGTCAAAATTACAGTTCCAGGCTTTCAGGATTCAAGAGTGCCTTGAACCCGGATGAATGGAGCGGCCCATGTGGACTCTTTGAATGATTTTCCAAGCGCGTCGATCCCAAAAGCGCCTCTTCGAGGTCTCGCCGCAAACTGCCCACCGCCCGCTCCAGGCGCTGGCGCTCTAAACACACCGTCTCCATGGCTCGCGGGAAAAGGTCGAAGGTCGAACCGGAGGATTTGACGGTTTGCTCGGCGAAGGAAGAAAGACCCAGGTTCAAGGCAAAAGCAATTCAAGGTCAAAGGTTTCAAAAAGGCACTATGGTGCTTCTTGAAAGCATGAACAGCGATCTCTAAAGCGAGAATAAGGTGGAGATGCTGGGAATGCTGGATTTTTTTTTGCAGCTGAGGTTTTGCGGAAGGGTGTCCACAGAAAGGAGGAATCCAAGAGCTTTCCCTCTTCAAATGTTGAAGCCATCAAACACACACTGCACAATGGTGGAAATTGCCGTAGTACTCGTTGATAACAGCTCAGCGTGATGTCCAGGTGTACTTGTGATGGATGCAGAGGTGCATGCTGGTGGCTGGCAAGGTATGAAGTATGGCACGTGTGAAAGAGATCTCCTGTCCCTAACCCATCAATGCACACTTCAAGAAACGCATCGCTGCATTTGGCTCTCGAAGTGCCATGTTTCGATCACGGTAAACTTCAACCGTGGTTTCGTTCCGTGAAAATGACAGGCAAATATGAACCCTGGTTGATCAGCCGCAACGGCGAATGCGAATGCGAGCATAGCTTGTGTCGTCAGCCACTAGTCTAAAGTTGGGTTGGGGGGGGTGGTGTAGGGGCATTTGGCCGGAATGGGCATGAGACTGTGGGTTTGGCATGGGGCTTTGGGCAAGCTTAAGGTTGATGGTGGCCTCGCAGTGCGTAAATAGTGGTTGAGAGTAATGTTATCAGATTTTGGGAACTGCGGAACCAGGTTGTGTGTGAATGTATTTGCGGCCAAGTGAAGGGTTGGCTTCGGTAGGCTTGTGCTGAGCTTCTAGACAACTGGTCTTGAGCGTGGTGAGGCTTGCTCTAGCATGGGACACACTAGCGAATCAATGCACACAAGCGGAAACTGGCCGCAGGTCCTTTGGAAGGTGCAGCATTCTGCGCCTCTCCTGGGGAGAACACGCTCGAGGGGCCGAAAATTGAGGCCTGCGTCGGTCGCGTTGCAATCTACGTAAGTTTGGCCGGGGCCAACCTAAGGATAAAGTGTAATCGGTGTCTGTTTGTTGAGGGTACCATATTGGGTTGGTTCAAAGACTGGCGAGTGTATGACTTGGACCACAGCGGAGAAATAGGTCAACTACCCAGAGTGTCACTTTCCAACTTCCCGCCTGCATCAGAAGGCTGGGTGGTCTCGAAAGAGCCTCGCAGAATCGCAGGAGCGAGGGCACTGGGTGCGTCTTTCCTAAAGTGGACCCCCAAATGGATGGGTTGTCCTTTTGATTTCACCCTAAATTAAACCATCCAAAAGAGGGGGTCCCAAAAAAAAGCACCCCCCAAACTATACTCTGCAGTGGTATTTGGACAAGTTCGCCGAGCCACTTCCCTCGCAACACATCTTTGGATGGGTCCAAAACTTAAAAATTCCGGTAACTCCTGAGTGACCCGAGCAAGGGGCCCGGTTCCAAACCCAAGCGCCCCGCAAAGTGAGTCCCGGTCGCAAGAAGCAAGCCTCAAGTGATCGAATTGGGGAACAGTCCACGTTGTCAAGTAGCAACAAACAAAGAGGGACCAAGAAAGTAGCAAGGGGAAACCAAGGTTGCGAGTTCGATTTGCGCAAGTGAGCCAAACTCGCCAGTTTGAAATTTGCCAACTCTTGTGGTCTTCGACGAAAAGTTTTCAAGAAAGCCCATGGCGTCTTCAAACCCGCTGAAGCCAGAGGTCGCCTGAAAATCCTGGGCAGAAGCCAAAATGTAGACCACGGATTCTCTGCGCACGCGACCCATATGCCTTGAAGGACCATTTTGGATTCTCGGTTGTCCGAAGGACCGAGATCAAATGGAGGACCGTGACCACCAGAACTCCGAAACCAAAACCTCAGGCCAGCTTTGGACAAGTAAGATATCCGCCCCAACCATCAGAAGTTGGGTTTGAAAGTTTTGCCATGGCCAAACCTCTCAGGCTCCAGCTAACGCCCACTAGCACCTGACTGGCTCGCTGGCCCGGAAAGGGAGACGAAAAGTTTCGCAACCGATTTGGGTGGCTCAGAATTCAAGAGCCAGGGCTTTTCCCCGCTGGTTTGTTCTTCTTTCCCATTTACCAAAGTGCCATGTTGGTGCTCAAACTGTTTGGCCTATGGCCATTTTCCACCCTTGTGGTTTGGTCATCCATGGTCCATCCAAGCCAAGGAGCCCCACAGCCAAAAACCTTCCCGGGAAGCTCCCACCAAAGGGCCGACGAAGCATGACGCAACATCTTGCGAATCCCGCAACTCAGAACAGCCCCCCATCCCTTCCCCCAACCAAAGGCCAAAGGAACCCCCCGAGGGTCCCAAAAAGGAAAACCCATGTACAGTTTGTGCCGCGAAAAAACAACACCCCATTGCCGGACTTGCCTGGCATTTCCGTCGAGATCCAGTGTTCCAGCACAACCCAGCCAGAGCAGCACTGCTCATCGACAGCCTGGGGTACGTGTCCAAGGCCCCCTTGCGAAAGGACAGCGGTTTTTGCGTGAGAACTTCCTACATCACCATGGAACTGACCGCATGTGCCGATCTTGGCTGGGACGCGTGGCAAATCAAGATGGAATCCAAAATAATCATTGGCATAGAAGACTGCTTTTGGCAGACCCCCGTTTCGGGACTCCCTTCTCAGAAGAACGCAAGCTTCGGAACCGCCATGCGGCTCAACGTGGTCTTTCTGACAGCCAAAACATCGACCCTGAATGAATCAACCTGCCGGGTCAACAGGTGGTTCCCCAAAAAACATCGGCCCCGCATGAATCACCCTGCCCGGTCAACAGGGGGTTCCCCAAAACACATCGGCCCCGCATGAATCACCCTGCCCGGTCAACAAAACATCGGCCCCGCATGAATCACCCTGCCCGGTCAACAGGTGGTTCCCCCAACACAGTCCAAATCCTCTCTTGTGGGACACCGCCAATAAGAATCAGCCAGGTGTTGTTTTTTTCTTTAATGTTGGGTTCCCCGTTCTTAGGGTTGCTTCCTAGGCTGGCTATTTTCTAGGTGAGCCCAAAAGCGTTTCTCACTTTCAGCGGCAGATGATCAAGACATCCACGGCGCCTTTGAGCATAGATGGCGCTGCATGCTGCACCCATGCCAAGCGAGGAGAAGGCAAGTCACTTGTTGTGTGTGTGTGTGTGTGTGTGCAGTGTGTGTGTGTGTGTATGCCTCCTCATGTCTGGGCCCACGAACTTTATTCTCACAAGGGCCCAGAATCTGCTGGCCGCTTTCTGAAATGCACATGTTGCAGCAAATGGATGGCTTGTGTCTCAGTTGTTGTGCCACTCCCCAGTCCATGCCCTTGAACATACTGTATATTTACATATCCTTGAAAGAATTGGATGTTTCTGTACTGGGGGGGACCCTTAAAACATAGGCTTGGCGTCTCGGAAACACAGAACAGAGTCTGTAGCCAATCACAGGACTCTTGCTATTTCTTCGGGTGACCGACTTCTGCTTCTTGTTTCCATTTGTCTTATACTCCATTGATTGCCTCTTACTCTTTCTTCGGGTGAGTGACTTCTGCTTCTGGCTTCTACCTGTCGTCTTGACCAGAATGATGCCCTCGGTTGTTCTTCTTCCTGTTCTCTTGATTGTTCTGATGGTGTGGATGTCTTCTTGTCACGTTTGAATAGTTCAAATATGCTCTTGTCTTCTCCACCTAAAAATAACCTTCTTACTGACTTTATTTCATGGCTTTCCTCTTTCTTATCTTTTTCGGTTGGTACTGATGACGATGATGATGTTAAATGAATACTTTGTAAATCTTCCTGCTTTTCATCAGACTGTTTTAAATCATTATCTTTTACATCTTCTGGTTCATCTGACTTTTTCTTTCCTCATTCTTGTCTGAAATTGCATCACCAAAAAGAGAAAAGACGCATGAGATTCCAACGAACCTGTATTGTGGATGGTCAAAATCCACACGAATGGATCGGCAACTGTACGTATTCACCCGGTTCATATATTTGTAGGATGGTTTCTAACTAGGACCTCAATTGAAGACATATTGGCGTGGATCACGTTTTCCCTTCGCAAAGTGCACGCAGGTGCACCGCCGAATTGGGGCAACACCTTGCTCACTTGCACTGCACTTGGCTCTCCGCTTTGAGACCCCCCAAGTGTTTCAAAGCTAGAGACCCTTCTGAAGGGTTATCTTGCTTGATTGAGGTTTCCGCTTGAAATGGCCTGAAAAGGGTCGTACTCATTTTGACATGCAAAGTGGATGGCGTACTTTATTTCGGGTTGTGGAATACCCTCTTGGGGCATTGCTTTTCAACAGAAGTGTCAAAGGGAGAACGTCCGGACCCAGATGGGGGCACATCTCTCACGTTTGGGAAATATGTTTCTCGCAAGGTTTTGCCCAGAGACAATTCTGCACGTCCGATGCAACCGCTGAACCGCTGCCAGTCTTGACTGCACCGAGTGATTACTTATTGGGCACATCCAACGCATCTCTCCTCGTTCACACTTTCCAATCCTTGGACTCCCGGAAGCTTCGCTCGATCAAAGCAGCGCTCGGCATTCGCTCTGTACAGAAGCTGACTGCGCTCTTCACACCGTCAACTCCGTGTGCGGCCTCGTTCGAGGGGAGCTCCAAAGCGATCCCCTTCATAAGATCCTCTTCCCCGGCCCGAAATGGGGTTCCTTTAAAACAACTTGGGGAACGGAGAGTTTTCGAGGGGCATTGAGCTTTTGAGGGTCAAGGCTTGCCAAGGAAAGAAACAATTCAAAAAGGAGGTACAAGGCGTTTAAGATGATCCTCGAATGTGCAAAGGTGATTACAAGAAGATCACGGCCGCGACACCATCAAAACCCGGTTTCTTTAGTAGGGGTCCACCCATAAACCATGCAAGGAATGGGTTTTAAGGGCTTCTGGCCATTTCGGACCATCCGCTACTTTCATTCATTCACGGCAACTCAGGTTTGCTCAGCCAGGCGCTGTCGAAAGAAAACGCCGCCGCCTGCGCGCAGCAACGGCATCACTTCACCGCTTGGGCCACTTGAGCCGCTCACTTGGGCCTGCTGAGTTGTCTCTCTCTCTCGCTCTCTCTCTTCGACCAACAGACATGGCTTGTGACATAGACTCTTCAGAAGACTTCCCTGTCCCACTTTCTTGAGAGACCGTGCCCCAAATGCGCGTGTAGCTTTCCTGCACAGCCCCGATTGCTTCACCGCGCCATGAAAAACAGGCCTTCATCATCAGACTCACACATTTGCACCTCAAGGGCGCGGGTCGAGACCCTGCACGCTTTAGAGCGAGTGGCCCGAGAACACCAAGTAAGTCATCATCAAAACCTGGTGTTAAAAATGGCGTACCCAAAACCACCAATATATCGCTCTTGACATAGGACAAACCGAAAGGGCTCCAATGTCGCAAGCGCATCTGATGGTTCCTGAAAGCTTGGCCTCTCGAAGGCAAGCAACACGGATCTTCTCAATTCGACTCTCTGCTCCACTCCTGGGCTCCCGGCAGGGTTGCCTTGATACTTCCGCAGCGCCTCATTGGAGACATGAAAGTCTTTCCTCTGAACCCCAAGCAAGTTCTGCACCTTTACCAGGCTGGCTGAAACACCCACCATGCACACCACGCGAACCGCGCGAACCGCATGGGCGCCTCGAGCCAGAAGAACAGCGCCCCGAAAATGTCCCCCTTGTCCTGAAAACCGAGGCCAACATCTTCGGACAGCCATTGCAACGCTAGGCTCCCTGAGGCTTTGGCAAAAAAAAAACTAGGAAACCACCCTATCAAACCTTGGAGTTAGCTAGGCCACTCTGCATGGATCACACCCCCCGATGAATTGTCCATAAACAAATTGATCCAAATGTCTAAAAACCCAACGGGAAGAAGACCCTTTTGGTTGGTGTGAGAAAGGGATACGCGAATTGAAACCGACTTTGCCTTATCTGTCGATTCAGCAATCAGCACCAAGCTGATCTTCCTGGTATCACTTGAAAACAAAAGTCATTTGAGACAATAGTTCTGTATGACAGGAACGCCCAAAAAAGAAGATGTGTACGTTTAGAGCAACCCCAAATTCCCCTCCCAAAAAGCGGAGTTTCCACACCCGCATCCCAGACCTCCAGTGGCCATGGGGCAAGAAAGAAAACTTGTCCCCAAATGATTTTGCTGGTAGAAGGGGAACCAAAAGTTGCAAACCACAATTTTAGGGGTCCTCTTATTTTGACAACCAAACCAACAAATAAAAAATAAACAAAGAAACAAACAAACCAACAAACCAATGCAAACCAAACAAACCAACAAACCAACAAACCAACAAACCAACAAACCAATGCAAACCAAACAAAGCGACGAACAAAAAAACAACGACGCTACAACCCCCCACGGCGGGAAGGGGCAAATCGCCTTCGCCTGGCCCTCGTCTACCACCGTCTTGGCGGCCGTGGCGATGGCTTTGCTGGCCGACGCCCCCGGCACGATGCTCGGCAAATACAGCAGCTCACTCGGCAGCAGGGCGTAGTCCTCCCCGCTGGGGTTCCTGAAACCGAACCCGAGGAGGCGAGCGGGAGGCGGCTTCATGGGAGTCCGCGCAAAGTTGGGGGGGCTGTGTTTATTTCTTATTGGAGGTGCCGGAATTCGGGGGTGGGCATTTTTGGGAGGTGCCAAGCCAAAATGGGGGGTTTGGTTCGAGAACCAAAAGGAAACCATCCTTAAAAGGTTCCCTATTTTGGCACAAACCCAATTCTTCGGGAACCATCCAGTTCCATGATTGTTGGAAAGCGGGTAGACCCTCTTTGGGATGGCGTTTCAAGACTGGACCCTCAATTTTAGATGGTTTGAACGGAAGAAAGAAACTGAGTGGGTCCATTCCAACACAACACAAACAAATACCCTTCGAAGGTGCAACAGTGGTGGCAAAAGTCACCTTGAGACACCTGATCGTTCACTTGAGTGAACCCAGGAAGAGTTCACCAAACCAACTTTGGGCAAGTGGGCCATGATCCATAAAAACTTGACCCGAAAAACAAAAACGGGCCGAGCTCGGGAAAGACAAAGACTGGAAAAGGATGGAGCGCTTCGCTGACGGAGGTTCTCTTTTGTCTCCACCTCGTGAAACTCCTGCACCTGGAGGCGCGCAACGAAACGATTCCCGGCGCTGTGTTGACGTGGTCACGGCTGGTCCGACCGAGGAATCCTCTTAGTCTTGCATTGGGGTTCGATAGCTCCTTATTTTGCCTCTCCCTTTTCGAGTTTCGCAGGGCGCCAAACCCGAACCAACCGTCCAATCCGACACTTCCCGCCTCATGCAGCACAGCTACGGCGGCGGGCGGGACTCCCAAGACGTGGGCCAGCACAAACTCCTGCTGCTCTCGGGCCCGGTCGTGCGGGCCCTCCGGGCCCTCCGCATGCCAGCCCTCCGCCTCCGGCTCAACCACCTCGATTGGGTGCATCGAGCCCGGAGGGCCATCTGCATGCCATTCCAGAGGTGCCGCATCGTCTGCATGCTTCAACTCTTGGAGCTGGATGGCCGGCACAGTTGGCTGTCTCCAGCTGCGCTCTGAAAGCTCATTTTGAAGCTCTTGCCCGCGAATAAACATGAAGCCATCCGCACCATCATCAGGGGACCAAAGCAGCTGGTGATTGAGAAGGAAGGATAAGATGGATTTCTCCAGCCTTGGTCATTCTTCGGCCCAAAACGTAGGATTTGCGGCGATTCCTCTGAAAATACGTCCACCCTCCGCCCTCCACATGCCACCATCCCCTTCGGCAACACCCGTTTGGGCCCTTTTTATGGGAAACACTTTGGCGAACGAGACCGCCCCTTTGCTGCCCCAGCAGCTTGTCATTCTCAAACTGACGCCTCAAGGTCCGCCTCGAGTCCGCAGAGGACGCCGCGCCAACGCCAAAGTCGCCGCTGCGATCTGGATCCAGGCACCCGTACAAGCAGAAGTCCCCCAGGCAGGGCGTTGCATACCTCACCCTCCTGACAGCTGCTGTGCCGGTGGAGTTTCCCTTGAAGGGGGAAATGCGGGGAGTGCCGAGACATTACACTCTTGAAAACTAACATGGCTCCAGCAAAATGGGGAGTTTTTTCCAACAAAACGAGGGAGTCCGCCGTGCGTGGATGCCTTTAGCAGCGGTTCCGTTCATAATCAAGGGAGTAACGGAACCCACAAAACATACGTGTCGCCCACAAGGTCTTATTATGCTGTATGATCGTGTTGGCAGGTTTAGGGTTCTTAGGGTGTAGGTTTAGGGTTTTTAGGAGGTTTAAGGTTTGTAGGGTTTAGGTTTATGTGCTTTAGGGTTTAGGTTTAGGGTTGTTAGGGCTTAGGTTTAGGGTTGTTAGGGTTTAGGCTGATGGTTTTTAGGGTTTAGGTTTAGGGGTTTCGGGGCTTTTAAGGTTATTTTAGGGTTTAGGTTTAAGGTTTTTAGGGTTAGCTTTACGACTTTGGGGTTTAAGTTTAGGGTTTTGAGGGTGTTTAGGGTTTAGGTGTAGGGTTTCTAGGGTTTAGGTTTGCTTGGAGCTGGCTGTCCAGTGCATCCGAGGCTGGCTTCTCTGGTTCAGATTTAGGGCTGTGTTGATGATAGCAATATATATATATATATATCCAGGACAAGTCACCGCGCTCCATGAAGGGGGTATAGAGCATGAAGCTGGGGTGGGGCTCGGGGGGCTCGGAAGTGCGTTTTTGCTGCGCCTGCCACGCTTTTTGGAGGTCTCGGGGACCCGCTTCCGGGCGGTCGCGGGCAACACAATGACATACGTTTTGGCCGTAACGGAACGATCGGAAATACAGGGTTTGCTTGGCACAAAGTCTCTTTCCCACCTGAAAAGTTACAAGTTGGGTTCAATACCCCTCCCCTGACAAACATAGAACCTGGCAGGGGTCTGCCTCTGTTGAGGGAAATCACCCTCCAAGGGCATTCCCTGCATTTCTGTTTCTACAAAAACACTCGCAGATCCGCAAACTCACTCACAGAGCAGAGACTTGTTCATATCGTTCTCCCCTCCTCAGCACTCTGACGATGCCCGGGGCAGCGTGAGACAGGAAGCAAAAGAGCAGGATGGGGCTCAGCAGCACTCCGAGCAGCTCCTCCGCCAAGACCTGAATCCGATGCACCAGGAAGTCTCGCAGCAACTCCTGGGAACTTGCGGTCCCGTGAACCTCTCCCTGGAAACAGGGAGCCCTTGTTGCACAGTCTTCTTCCGGGCTGGTTTGGAAGGGTTGAAGGTGTGGAAGGAAGTGTTCTCCTTTTTTAGGCTGGTGTTGAAGAACCCTTGCTTGGCTGCTTCTGAAGAAAAATAAGCCCAGGTGGCCCCGACAGAGTCTATTTGGGCAGAGACCCCAAAGCTTCCGGCTGTTGGGAATGGCAAAATCTGCGCTAGACTCTGGCGTTCTTGCGCCGTGTTCGGTCCTGGCGCACCAGCCGAAAGTGCTGGCAAAGGCTTGCGCCTCATCGAATCGGCCCTATCTCTCTGCTGAGCCCCTTAACCAGGGGCCAGGCGTCGGAGACCGCTGCATGCTCCTGGCCAGATACTGCGTATGACTCCCCTGTTTAAGGGAAGGTGGTTGATGGGATCTGGCTCAAACAGCGCCCAGGACGTCTTTCTTCTTTTATTTTGCAAAGGGCACCAGCATGAGGCCGAAAAGCCATAGCAGACACGAGCTTGTTTTGACACCTATCCCTTTGGCATGTTGGTTCCCTTTGAGAGCGGTGAAGGAATCCCATAGCTTTGGCTCATCTGGTTTATGTTCTGGTCGACAAAAGAATGTCTTTTTGGCTCCCAATGCCACAGCCAAAGCCCGAAACCTCTGACGTGTTTGGGGAACCCTTTCAGTTGCCGACTTCACAATCGTGATGCCCGCAAATGGCTACCCTCCAACTTCCTGGGTTTGTCCCGAGACTTGCGGCTTGGCTCCTGCCAAGGATGTCAGCCTCTCGGGCGAGCGCCAGTGTGCTGGTAAATGGTGCGTGCCTCAGTCGCAAAAAAAGGCAAACATGGCAAACCAAATCCTTGCAACCCACGCAAACTGAAGCTTTGAGCATGAGAACAGTGTCCTGAGGGTGTGTCCTGAAATAGGGGACCCGGACAAAACCGTCGGCAGTCACGGGACTGCAAAGTCAAAAAGTGCCAAGATGGCTTGCACGAGTTTGGAGGGAGTGGAAAGCATCCCAATGATTTCTGGAGGCCTACAGTATGCATCTCGACTCAGCATCCCACAGGACACGAGCTTCATCAAGGCGATGTACATGCGGAGCCTTGCCGCTCAGCGCACAGGGTGTCGACTAGGCGCCCTCTGCATCCCAAGACAACACTGCAACAGGTGGAGCCGCTTCACTAGCGGTCGCATGTGGAATCCAGGTGCGAATCAGTGGGTGGACAAAATGATTTGCTAGGGTGAGCAAAGTCCGTTCTCAACACGACATCGCAAGAGGTGCCCACAAAAAAAAAGCAGGCATTTGGGGGTGTCACTTCGGTTGTTTTCCTGTTGGTGTCCATTTAAAACCACCAAAAAGGCACACCCTTCTTTGGATTGATTTGCACCACCTGAGGTCCCATCGGCACGCTGGGCGCATGCAGACACGCTTCAGAGCCGCTGCCTTTGCCTCGCGATCCAACCGGGGCCCAGGCACGGGAAAGACATCCCGGCCCAACAAACGGGACCCCCATTTAGAAAAAAACGGAGGGGAGTATCAAACACGGTTTCCCCACTAAAAAGGAGACCCCCCTAAGTAACAAGAGGGGGTCGTCAATCAGGGGTCGACTTGATTCATCCACTCGTTTCCCCAAAAGTAAGCCCAACGACACTTCGGCCCGGGAAAAGGACCGATGTCGGACAGGCAGCTGGGGGTCCCAGAGAAAAGTTTGCCGACTTGCCTGGCCTGATAACAATAAACTGCCATGATTCTTTCTCTGTGCGGGGAAGGCTTACTGTCTGCTTGGTTCGAGTTGAACCCCTTGCTAGCTGGCTTCAATCGGAATATGGACTCAAGCACTAATTGTTGGGTCTCTCCTTTAGAGACAAACTCATGCTGGCTCGAAAAGTGGGGAATCAACAAGGATTTGGTTAGAATGCACCGGTTTGGGACCTCAAGGAAACCACTACGGGGATAGTTCAGTTTCTCATTCCCTGCCTTTTCTTGCCCGCAAGTCATGAGGGATCCAATATCTCCTTTCACATGAGTGCTTCCCAAATGGTGAATCCCCCTTTTTGGTTGATATTTATTGCAAAACCGAAAGGAAATTCCCAGTTTCAGGGAACAACAATTTTGAGCAAACCCCCCCCCCCATCTGGCACCACAGCCTGCCTTCTGCATCGCCTGGCGATCCGGATTCGATCAGAGTCGCCGAACCAAGCTTGGGGTGTCCCCTATTTTGACACCAACCCATTGGTGTGACCGTCCCCCGCCCAACACGCGCGCCTGCGTTCTCTTCACCCGCACTGTCCACAACTGCGAAAACAAAGCCTTAGATCTCTGTTGAAGATAGTTCAATGAAGAAAAATAATGCCAATATCTAACACCCAAAGCAAACCAATCATTGTAGTGGCACTTTGAACAAATCCCATCTCAAAAAGTTGGGACCTGTCTAGGTCCGTGGCCAAAAAAGGCCAAATACCAGAGCAGATTCTTCTCCTGAGGCGGCTGTGTACAAAAGCTCGGAAATATAAATACACAAACAGCATAATGATCATCTGGGGAAAGATGCTGGCATTTCAGATCACTGCAACCACTCTCCCTTCTCTGACAGCACAGGCATCCAACTCACCAGCGGTGCTCCTGAATTTTGACGAAGAGAAGCGGCGTATCCTTGGCTTCAACATGGGCCCAGTGCAGGTAGGCCTGCAAAGGCTAATGTTGGCAACTGCTGCAGATGGGAGTGCCCTTAAAACAGGGGACCCAAAAATTGGTTGGTGTGCTTTTGGCAGGAGACACTCGAATACCAGCAATGCAGCCATGCAAATCCGCAAACATTGCCAAACCCGATGCCAAATCCATGGCGACAGCCAAAGGCGAGGCTTATGAATAGTGCCAAAATCATGAGAATGGCGGTGCGGGGTTCTTTATATCGTCATTCATCAAAGGAGAAAGGAGAAGAATGGGGGCAATTATTCAATTCCTTGAATTAAAATTTGACCCGGGCTCACATCCTGGTTGCTTCCTAGGCTCGTCCCACAGTGCCACAAGGAGCAGAGCTGCAAGAACGGATCCTGTCCGGCCGCGAGTTGTCCCAAGCCAAGTTGCAAATTCTTGAGATTGGCAGCTTCTCAATTCATCTTCCCCCGGAACCCGACATGATACCTTTGGTTGCTTCTTGGAATGTCCACCAAAGGCTCCCTCAAAATTCACAGATGGACGGAGGCCGAACCTCCGGGACCCCAAAACTGCCTGCGATGAACTTCACGCAGCGCAGCGCCGATTTCAGTACCGGAGAGGAAGGCCGAGTGGTGTGGACGTAGGCCTAGGGTCACAAGCATGAGAGTTTCTCCACAAAGGTGGAGCCCCTTTTAAACGTTTGGTTAAAATTTCAAGCGAAATCAACCGGAAACCCACAGAAAGACAGCGTGGTCCTATTCGGAATTCTGAGAAAAAAGAAACCAAGCCAAGGCTTTGATGGCCTCCGTGTATTGACCACACGTGGTACCATCGCATGAATACCAATGCAATTTACATCATTGAGTCCAACCAATACCCTGCCGACACCCAAAGAGGCTTTGGAGGTCAAGCGCATGCTTGCTGTACATGAGTGAGAAGAAGGGAATTCTAAAGTCTCCTCTCGGTCATGTCCCAAGAACTAAGGGTTTTGGAAGACTATCATCCTCTTGAAAAGGATCCTTGCCTCAAACAAGAAATCGGACCAGACACCAGGTCGAGCAAAAGCTGGGTTGCTTCCCTCAACAAGGGTGGATTGGTGGTTTGGAGGTTGGGGGTTTCCCGTTTGCCCTACAAAAGCCAGAGGCTCATACAGGTTTCCTGATCTGTGAGGTCGCCTCCGCAGCAGCATGGCCAGCACTCATCCTGGCCTCAGTCAGCTCCGACTCCTTAAGGCACTCGCAACATGGGCAATTGCCTGGGTACTAAATCTTAACATCTTACCAACTCAAGGTCAAGGAATTTATGGGACTTTTAGAGGAGCTCCCTTTTACCTGCGCCTGGGCTCAGGCGTGTCATATTGGGCATGCAGCTGTCGAACAAATTGGGCGAAAGAAAAGGAAAACAAAAAGAACGGTTTATCAAAACAGGGGGCACCCAAACCTGCCAGCTTGCTGCTGGCTTCCCAATCAAATCATCCAAGGATACTCTTTGAGACCAAGCCAAACCTCTCAGAGGCACGCTTCAATCTGGTGAGGCAGCTCGTTGTACTCCCTGAAGGTCCATTGCGCCTCAGATCTAGCTGCCTGAGCATGTCAATGCAAGTCGATGGTTCGCAAGTCGTGGATCTGTTTTCGTCCGGTGACATTTTTTGCCTCAGGCACTTCGTCAGGTGCCCGTAATTGGTAGTTCGGATTGGTGGTTTGGGGGTTGAACCCTAGTTCCTTTTGAGCCAAATGGGGAAGGTACTTCCAAACTCCCAAAACCGGGACGGTGATTTAGTTGTGTTCCCAATCCACAGCAACATTGACCAGGCTCTTGAAGGTAACATATTTGAGGCTGAGCTGGGCTAACCAAACCAAACCACCAATTGGGTATGTCGCTTCCCGGGGGCGCCCAAAAAACAAATGGTGGCTATCCTCCGTCTGCTACCTTTCGCTCGCCTTTCTGTGGTGATCCTCAAAACGAAACCCCGGACGAGGCCGAGCCGCATAGTCCGACCACTGCCTCCGGAACGGCGAGGCTCGCTGCGACCGGAATTCTTGTGCATGTCCTCTCAGGAGCAGAGGGTCGGCACGCGGGTACCCTCCCGTCCACTAACATGGAGCCTCATTGAGGGGACCTGGAAGACTTTGTTCCTTTAAAACGGACTTTGGAGAGGGTTCTATGTTAGTGGACAGGAGGGAGAAAAATTGCAAATGTAGATCCCTCTTTCCAGGAAGTTACACCAGCCTCGACCCCAAACAGCAAAAAAACAGCACAGGATAACGACGGCCCCTTGCAGCAACAAGGCATGGCCATCGCCAAGCGTGGCACACGCAACCTGCCCCTGTTGCTGGCCCAAGACTCGTTTTCTTGTTGAGGGCTGTAAGCACTGGGAGACACAGGGAGACAAGCAGGAGCATCTGGCATCTGACCGGAGACACTGAGGACAAGTGGAAACGTGAGCCCGGAGACAGCGTCACACTTTCCCATTCTTTAAACCTCAAGTTAGAACCCCAATGCGTCGCTGCTTGGGGAAAGCATGGAAAAATCAAACCGTGGAAAAATCGGCAGTTGCTGGAAAGAACAACGGTTGCAAAAAGGGGAATCGACCCAGAGAAAGGTGCAACGGCTTACCTTACACTTGGTGATTGGTTTGGGGATTTGAACTTGTTTACGGTTTACTCCCCAAATCTTGACTCCACGCAGTCATGTGAACCATGCTCAATATGCAATTTCTGTTCTCAAATGCAATTGGAATTTGGTGAGTATCCTCCATTTCCAACTCTAGTCGGTGGCAATTTGGCGAGTGTATCCAATATAATCACGTTTGCTATAGCAGATGACAGTGAATATTTACCGTTGCTCATGTGTGCGATGATCAAAGGTCCTCATTCTTCTGGTCTGAATCTCCTATAAGAGGCCCATGACTGTCCATACCAACTGCGAAGCAGGGCTTTCGAACCTGGCAGGTTTGGAAAAACCACCTGAGGCTTGCGCGCATAAAGAAGTAGATGGCCACAAAGATGAGGACGGGCGGCACCAAAAGCACGTTGAGCCTCATATTGTCAGGTGCTCCGTACTCTCTGTGTCCTGAATCCAATAAGAATGCTCAAATTACCCCATCTGGTCTTTATGAAGATCCTCCCAAGTGCACGGCAGAATCCCATGATTTCTCTGCCTATAAAACCAGGGATCCGCGCCAAAACTAGTCGCAGCTCGCGTCTTGATTCGGAAATCGGCCGTGAAATGGTCCACGTAGGAAAACCTGTGGGTGATACCATTGCAATTGCCTCCGCGGACCAGGCACATGTCATGGTCAGTTGACACAATTGCGTGAAACATGCATCAGCCAAACCTCAGTGACGCATTTGCAATCCGTCAAGTAGAGCTGCTCGCATCTAAGCTAGCATCGGCCCCTTCTCTGAAAATGGGTGTTTCTTCAGATTGGAGTTTGAACGGAAAGCAGAACTCTCGCCAGTTGGGCAAAGGAGATGTCTCAATCAAAATTGGGGGGCAAGGACTGTGGCATCTACTTTAACCCAACGGAAAATGGAATGGCATCTCAGCGACACGGGAATGGAACCCTTCAAAGAACCTTCAGTTTTGCTCTGATCGGTAGAACCGCCGTGAAAACCGGCCCACGGCCTACAACCACCCACCGAGGCACCATAGGTGGACTTAAACCCAGTCGCTTTTACTGTTAAAACTCAACCACTCCTGAGTTTATGCTTCTACTGGAACAAATGGTGACCCCTCGGGCATCCGGACACGCCCAGGAAGCGCAGACGTCCGGCAAGCACCTGGAACCCGGAGGACATAGAAAGTGACTTGGAACATCCCAAAATCCGGTTTTGTTGAAATATCGCACTCCGGTTGCTTTTTCCAGATTTTGTTTACGTCCCGCTCTTTCCAACAATGGAAGCAAACGAACGGGGCTTCCAAACAAGGGGTACGCCAGGCTGGTTTCCACCAATTGTGCTTTAGCCACTAAATTGGTCTTTCCAAATGAGTAAGTGGGGGTTCGGAACCCCTGCCATATGAATCTTCTCGGACCCAGGTGTTTTAGCGTCGGAAACGGGACCCACTCACCAGGGGACCCTCCAAATTTTGCGATGGCAAACGGAAGGGCACCATGCCGATACTGCCTGCCCAAAGAAAGTTCTTGTTGTTTCCGAGGCGTTCAAGTGTTCCGTGATTCCCGGATGTTTCCATTGTTGCCTTTATGGAGAACTTTGAGGTGTTTGAAGGTGGTTCCCTGGTGTTTTCACACATTGGAATCCAGTGAGATGGATCCGGTTCGGTTGGTTTGGGTGGTGCCTGGCTTTGGTTGCCTGGAGTATGTTGCCTCAACAGAGAACCAAAGGGAAGCCAGCATTTCCTGAGACTGCTTTGTTGAAAAGGATGCGGCAACTTCGTCCCACACGGGGGGCTTCGCATCCGGCAATCAATGCTGAGGGTGGCGCAGAGTCGCACCATGAAGATGCAGCACCCACATGTGCCATGTGTCACATATGTTTGTCTCAAAGGAGCACCCAAAAACCGGGGGTGTCTCGTTGGTTTGAAACAAATTGAAAGGGATATGCTCTAAAAGAGTACGCCGACATGCCGGTTTCGACACAAGGGTGCGTATATCCCATAAAACTGAATCTCCAAGTGGGCCCTCATGCTTGGAGGGATCCGATCTTGGGTGCACAATGCTTGTACCTTTGACCAACGCTTGGCAATCACCTCAAAGGACAACAAAAAGTACTCTCAAGAGCATGGCATGCCATATTTGCACCTCATATCTTCAAGATGTGGGTGTGTCTTTCTTGGAGTTGGTCCCCTTTGTTGTGGTGTCTAAAGGGAAACCAAAAGGAAAAACCATCCCCTAAAAATACGCCCCCATGGGGGCTTCTCAACAGCTGAGCCTGTCCCGGACTACATCCGATCCCCTTGCGTGCCCTTTGAGTACACAGCCCCGCACGCAGCTTCTTTTTTCTGGTGGCACAATGTCGGCCTTAGGCCTGCTTCATCTCAACGGCACCTCTTCAGAATGGCTTCAATCCTCGTCAGAATCGGGTCTGAGTGTCTGAATACTAGGTTCGGCTGTCAATGACCTTCCACGAGCGTGGAAGTTGTGCAAAACCTGTTGGATTCACATATATTAAACAATGGCAAACGCCACGGTTCCCAGTATGATGGGCATCCGTCCAAGAAAAAGAAGACAAACACGTAGCGGAATCACTCGGTTGACAATCAAAAGCCAAATTCTCGGGCGCCCGAGCACACTGCTTGTTTTGTATGGTCTGCAAAACACGTAGCTACCACCCGCAAGGGAAAAACAAAGCACCGCCACAAACCAGAAGCCCCGGCAAATGAAACCCACTTCCAACAATGTCTAGAGCCATGGCAAAGGCATGGGAAGGTCATGACCTGTCGTCCGTCACCAATTTCGGCTGCAAATGGCTCCCCTCACTACAGCTCTGAATCAGTATGCGGCTTGGCTCCGAAAGGGTGAACCCCTAAAACTGGCGCTCAATGACAGACCCATACGAGCCCCGGACAAAACTTATTGTTTCCCCAAGAGGACATGGGAAACTTACGCACAGTCCTCTGGTTTTGGGAAGTTGAGAGAGTCCCCCATGTCCCTCTCAAAAATGACCAAACCTTTGGTCTGAACAACCTCTTCTTAAGATTACGAAGGAATCTCCAAGGGACGTTCATACCCCAATTGGTGAGCCCATTTCACTTGGCCAAGTTACCCGTACGTGCTGTGGTCAAGACTCCTTGTCCTTACTAGGACTCATGATGCTATAAAATCCTAGGCTTCCCTTCCTATAGGGTGACCCCTGCAATGGGTTCGTTCGATCACGTTCCAAACTCGGATGCGGAAAGCGCATGACTAATTGTCCTATGCAAGCTGGAGCCTGTTCAATACAACCCTTTTGGGGAACGTATGAGCATTTCATAATGTGCAAGCCTTCTGGAACACACTCATGTGTTCCATGGTCAAAAGACCGATTCCTTGACTTGGATTTATCAGGGATGGTCAACTGTGGATCCCTCCTCCTGGGCGACGATATCCGCGGTCAACGTGTTCATCGCTTCCTCCGTCTCTGGCCTCACCATCTCCACGCCCGCGTCGTCCCCACCGTCTCCGTGGAGCTCCATGAGCTTGGTGATGTCGAACTTGGGCTTCTTCAGAATCTTCACCTCGACATCTTTGCTTGGAGACGCCCCTCAAATGGCGCAAACGTGTTCCTTGTGGTTTTCCTTTGAACCCACAAAATGCTTGTCTGAGACTGCAAAGATTGCGGGAACTATGATGGCATGGGTGCTAAGCGGGGTGTCAAACTTCCCGTTTGGAGCTGCTTTCAGGCGAGTCAACCTGAGGCTAGTTTAAAGGCGTTTTTCCCTTTGGCAACCAGACCCGCTTTGTTTTGAACATGTCCTTGTTTGACACCCTCCTTTTCCGGCTCAACATGATACTAGGGTCCCCAACAGCTGCCTGAAGCGGCCTTTTGGCCAGGTGGGCTTGTCTGTTTTGGGAATCTGAAGAAGCTGCAAGTTTGTTCCCCCCGCCTTGCGGATCAGGCAGTCCTTCAGAGGGAAGGTGCCCTGCGCCTCGGATTTTTTCGCAAGACACGTCGCGCGAACGCGATGTGTGTTTTCTGGGGTTGCAAGTGTTCTGGAGGTTTCATGGGTGCGGAGGTTTCTCGGCTCCTGCCAAAACGGACCCTTTGGATCCGGATCGGATCCCCTCGCCTGCTTCTCGATCTCCTTGCCGATGGACTCGGGGATCAGCTTCTTCACCAGCTCCCGGAGCTGAACCTTGCTGGCCTCCTACGTCGCGAGATAAGAAGGACTCACCCGGAGGGGATTCTTTTCGGATGTTCAAAAGGTCGCGAAAAGATGGCCGTCTTTGGTATGTGTTGCTTTTGGCCAAGTCGCATGTTGTGCTTTGTGGTTTGTTACAGCTCTTCCCCAACTATCATGGAAGTGGACGAGAGAGTTTTTGGAGCAGCTCCACTTGAAAAAGGCCCAGTGCTCCTTCCACAAAAAATGTTAAAAACAGGGAACATGTTGGCTGGCGAGCGGGAAAATTCGGATGCAAGTAAAAGGCCCCACCACACCGCACACGTCATGACTCCTTGGAAGGATGCCATATCATGAGGCTTACCTTTGGTTGTAGCTTGGGGCAACTGGAGCATTGGTTGCCATAGAACCATGATTGTCTTTTGGCCGGCTAACCACGTGGGACGGTCCTTCAAAAGAACCACGGTATAGAACTTCGCGACACGGTTCCCAGCCAACCAAGGTCTTGGGGGTCTGGATTGCTGTTAGCAGGAACTGAGAAGCACCCTTTATCCAAACAGGAATGGAGGAGTAGGCCCTCTCCTGGCCAGAGGCGAACGCCTGTTTCAGAGTTTTCAGAAACCGCCAGAAAAGAGGCAAGCCAACTTAGGGGTGGTCCCTCGGTTCGCAAGCGGGTCTAACAACTAATCAGCTTCTTTGCACCTTGTTTTGCTGGCATGTGTCAAACTCGGCATCTAAGTATTTCTTGCTTGCTTGCTTGCTTGCTCGCTCGCTCGCTCGCTCGCTCGCTCGCTTGCTTGCTTGCTTGCTTGCTTGCTTGTGTCCTGGACAATACAGGGTGCATACTATCGACAAAAGATGGGCAACCCTCCTGTTGCTGTACCTTGGCGCTTTGCTTGCAAAATTACAGTCCAAGCTTGGGTTGGTACACCCACCTGGAGCTTAAGCAAGACCTACAAACAAGTCTTTATTTTCATCCACACAACTACCATGTTCCTAATGCAATCTCCGTGGGATCAGGGCCTCAGCTCAAGGTAAACCTACCAATGACGACCCGGGTAGGACCTACCACTGCGAAAACCCCTCGAGAATCATCTCCTGCGTCATGATGTCCACCATCTTCCTCCGGATTTTCCGGATCTGAGCCGACTGGGCGTAGCAGTTGGCCTTCACCTGAAGGAAAAACGCAAGGCTCTGTTCAGGATGTGTTTTTGTTGATGAACCAATGGGAAAGCTACCATTTTAGGGTCCTTGTTTAAGACGCTGGGCGGGAATCACGGTTTCAACTCGAGCGAAGCCATGATTTCTGGAGGAAAACAGCGAGAGGCTCCCCATCTTCCAATGTCGCCGTGTGTTTTATGGTTCCGTTTTTTGTGGTTCGCCACAGTTTGCTTCGAAATGTCCCACAGCGCCTGGTCTGGGCGCCTCTTGGTGAAGGCGACGCAGAACATGCGGACGACATAGCCGTCAGTGGTCTTCACATCCACATGGGCCTGGAGCCATTTTGCTGTCTGGAGGTTCCTGGAAGACCATTTTGCGGCCACTCCAGTTCCATGTTGGTGGGATGGCATATGGTGCTGAGAAGACGACCTGGTGAACTCTGAACCAACTGAGGATTGTCCAAAAAAGGGGTGCCTCGTGGACCTTTTTGTGACCCCCCGTCTAAAGGACATCAATGGGCATTAGGGTCCCAAGTGGGGACTCTGTTGGTTACGTGATGTTACATGTGTAGATCTTTGAATTGTGCAAACCTCTTTACACTTCAGTTCTAAGGGCCCAGAGGTTCTGCCGCTCGTGTGTGGTCGATATTCTGTCCGATTCCTGGTTTGACGCATTGGGCATACCACCCTTTGGATAATTGCAGAAGGAACCCAAGCTGCTACCAATCCAGTGGAGGTTGGTTCCTCTTGACGTAACCATGTGAGTACGAATCTCAAATGGGGAACCTTTGACAGATGGGGATACATGTGTACAATTTGTTACACAATTCCGCCAACCATTTCAAATGGTGTCCCCATTCAAGTTCAAAGCCATATTTGGGAATGTCAACCAACAACCGAACCCTCCAAATGGCTATCAGTGCAACGCTGGTTTGAGTCGAAAGAGGTCCAACTCACTTCAAGCTGTTCCCGCGACGCCTGCACTTTTCCATCCTGGTCCAGCTATTTCGCACACCCTCCACTCTTCACAACGAGAAAACTCCAACCTACAAACCGAGACCACCAACAAAGACCTCCCAAAAGGGACCACCCAGAAAGCTCCCCAGAGCCCCCCCTCCCGGAACCACAAGACCCCAAATCTGTCCCACAGCGAGAACCGAGCTGCCTCAATCAGGGTCTGCCACTTCTTGATCAGGGAGCAAATCCTTGGTTGGTCAGTGGATTTCAAAAAAAAAACAAAAGCTTGCCCTTTGTTCTTCGGGAAGCCTCCAGTGACAAGGGAAAGAAAAATCATCCAAGTCCAACGAGGAAAAGACCGGTCGAAGCTGTCGAACGTGCCGCTTGCTCAAAGAGCTTTCTGCACATAGTCACTTCAAAAGTGGGACCCGTACTCCCCCCCACAAAAAAAAATGGGCAAAAAGAGAAGGAGAAAAAAAACACGCAAGCCGCCAGCCCGCTTTTGGGATTGTTTTTTCTCCAGTCAGCTTGGTCACTTGTCCCTGGTCAGCGTCATGCCGTGGAAGTCGGTGAGGCAATTCCGGCCCTGGACCTCCTCGATGCAGAGCCGCACCTTCTTGGAGGCCTGGTCCTCGTCGTTGTTCAGGTCCGCGAGGTTCACCTATCGGGATGCACGACTCAGGCTTTGCTTTTGATTGAAAGTCTATGGGGTTTGGGTTCAAAATGCCTGGAATCGTTTCCTTTCCAAGGCGTTTGGTTGAAAAGCAACTGCAGGGGGGATCAAGCCCAGTCCCAAAATGGAACCCTGATGGGAATTTCTCATCCTCTTCTCGCCTCCAGGACGCGGCCCTTGAGCTCCTCTGTGGCGATCTTTGTGCCCTGGGTCCGGGACACCAAGGTCTTCCCGCACTGCCGGTTGGTGAACATGCTCGGGGCCTCCGGGCGGATCTTTTTTTTGACGGTCGCCCCTTTGTTTGGTGGTCATAAAGGGAAAACCACAGGGAAAACCACCACTGTGTGGGTGGGGTCCTTTGAAAAAAGAAGACGAAGAAGAACAGACTAAAGGCCATTCGAATGTCCCCTGAAATGAATGTCTCCACAAAAGACATGAGACATCAAAGTCACTGGTGAAGGCAGGGTAACCCTTCAACCCACCAAAGGATTCTAGACTGAGGGCATTTTTTTGAAAAAATCAAAGAGAACGACCAAAAGGAATCATACACGCTTGATAGACGATACGTGCCTTTACCATACATTCATCATTTGATTGCTGATCTTTGAAGGATGATACATACATACATGGAAAATACATGAATATGAGTTGGTGTGTTTGCATACATATCTGTGCGTGTGTGTGTGTGTGTGTGAGTTCGTATGTTTAGGTGTATACATGTCGTTTTTTTCTCTTATTCTGAACCTGAACTGGTTGGCAGTAATCCATTTATCTGAGCCAGCATCTAGCCTTTCTTTCGCTCGTGCTGCAAGTATTTTGCAGCATTATACAGTTTCGCAAGCAAATGGGTGGGTAGTTTGCTAGCGAGGATGAATCTCCTGCCTTATTGAGCGTGACTCGTTTGGTGTGTTACATTTCTTCCCGTATGCATGCGTTAGCATCCTGTCGGTACATCTGTCTACTGGTTGCACAAGACCCATGCTACTGCTAGTGGGACCAACCAGTCTCTAGGAGTCTCCTCCACACCTTCGAACTTATCCCAACGCCCAAGGCTCGAGATTTCCAAGCACCCGCCTTGATGTCATACCACTCCTTGCGGAGGAAGGGGTCACCCGCCTTCTTCTTGCCGCCCTTCTTGCCACCCTTTGTGAGTCTCTTGTTCTTGCCAACAGCCATCGCAACAGCTCGATTTGTGCCACCTACCGTAGTCTCGAGCCAAAAGTGCAGAGACACCACGAGGAAACCCGTCATTTGTGAGGGTGCCCTATTTTGGAAACATTCATTGACTCGTACACCTGCATAGATCCTGCCATAAGCATGCCATCCCCGTAAGTTCTTAAAATGCGACACCGCTACGATTGCCAGGTCTGCGGTTACTGACCGGAGTGTCGCAAAGGAATAGATTGCGTGGCAAATGTATTTTGTTGGAGTAGTGATTAGATCACGTAGTAAACCCAATAATCTGGCAGCTTCAAATATAAATGATGTAGTAGACGTTGCACGTATCGCGCCTCGTGAGACACTCAAAAATGGCTCATGGCGTGAGTGCTTCGGTGCTAGGGAAAAGCCGCTGGTGGTAGTTGACGGGTCTTTCCAAAAAACATACAATCAAAGGGCGGATCTCGCAGGCTGGACTGGGACTGTAACTTCGACTGAAAGTGGGCACCTCTGGTCGCTCCAGGAAGTCTGCCTCCAGGCGGCCCCGGTCAGACTCCTGAGAACAGAGCCCGGAGCTTCAATTGAGACAGTTGACCCCGGATTTAACTCCCACATTTCTCCATGCCAACTTATGAAACCAAACAGGTTCTGAGGAATCCTCTTTTTGCAGTTCTGCAACAGGGGAGTAGAACTCTTTCCAGATTACCCCATCGGAGCTGCGTCTATGCGCTGGTACAGGTGGAATCTTACATCGGTTGGGTCCTCAGCTGATGCCACATGAGCACGCTTGCCTCCCCCACGAAGCCGCAGCTTGGCCAATGAGAAACAACGACGCTTGTAGACCTATAAGAGATCGCATACACTGGTGGAACAAAATCTTGGGAAGAATTTAGCTCATGAGGATACTGAAGAGCGATTGTTGCTGATGTTCGTTCAATGCTAGACTGTCATACCTGTGCGCATTGTTGTGATGCTGATGCACATCATAGATGGGAAACGTCCAACTTCCCTGATCAATAAAGGGGCCATCCACATCGAATTGAGTCCAATTGCGAAGAATAGGATACGTAAATATCCAAAGGGTCACCCCCCAAGTTAGTAGAAGCCCAGGTTTGCCCGGAGAGGGCGCCATGAAATACCCTTTATCTCACGACCCTAGGCTCCTAGCGCCACAAGAGAATGGAGCGCCTTGAGGAATATGGCTATGCGCGTCATGATCATGGTTCCCTAGGAACCCTTCCATTGGTTGCGATGCATGTTTCTTGGGGATACCCTTCCACCTTGGCGTGAAAGCGAAAAATCCGAGGAAAGCTGAAATCCATTTTTTGATTCCCCTCTGACACAAACCAGTGTGTTTAAAAACCCGGACCGATGCATGGAGCAATCCCGCCCCGTGGCCCCAGGTCCCCGGCCCCAAACCGGAAGAGCCCCAGCCGCAGATTGTAGAGCGGGGCCTTGGTGTACACCTGAGCCAACCGGCCGCCGGGAGCGGCCCGCTTTTGTATTTGGTGGACAGAAGGAAGGCGCAAAAAGTAAGGGAAAACCTGGTTTTTGAAGAGGAAATCCACAAGAAAACCAAAATTTTGGTCAGGGGCCCGAACTTAGGAAACACGCATCTGATGTGTAGGGAGTGAGTCATATCCCCCTTTCTTCGGGCAACCTTTTTACGCAGACCAAAGCAAGGGATTCCAACTGCAAGGAAGTATGTTTGAGGTGATGTAAGTGGTAAAATAATCACACACGCACGCACGCACGCACGCACGCACGCACACGCACACGCACACGCACACGCACACGCACACGCACACGCACACGCACACGCACACGCACACGCACACGCACACGCACACGCACACGCACACGCACACGCACGCACACGCACACGCACACGCACACACACACACACACGCACACACGCACACGCACACGCACACACGCACACGCACACGCACACACGCACACACTCACACACACACACACACACACACACACACACACACACACACACACACACACACACACACACACACACACACACACACACACACACACACACACACGCACACACACACACACACTATTCTCGCATGATGACTTAACTTCGCTTCGAGCACTCACCAGGAGAGTTAGTTCACCGGGATTGCGTGGCCATCAGTTTACGCCATACCTGATCGACATATCAAACAAAAAGAAGCAGAAGAGGAAGGAAGGAAGGAAGGAAGGAAGGAAGGAAGGAAGGAAGGAAGGAAGGAAGGAAGGAAGGAAGGAAGGAAGGAAGGAAGGAAGGAAGGAAGGAAGGAAGGAAGGAAGGAAGGAAGGAAGGAAGGAAGAAAGGAAGAAAGGAAGAAAGGAAGAAAGGAAGGAAGGAAGAAAGGAAAAGGAAGGAAGGAAGGAAGAAAGCAAGGAAGGAAGGAAGGAAGGAAGAAAGGAAGAAAGGAAGAAAGGAAGAAAGGAAGAAAGGAAGAAAGGAAGAAAGGAAGAAAGGAAGAAAGGAAGAAAGGAAGAAAGGAAGAAAGGAAGAAAGGAAGAAAGGAAGAAATGAAGAAATGAAGAAATGAATGAATGAATGAATGAATGAATGAATGAATGAATGAATGAATGAATGAATGAAATGAATGAATGAATGAATGAATGAATGAATGAATGAATGAATGAATGAATGAATGAATGAATGAATGAATGAATGAATGAATGAATGAATGAATGAATGAATGAACGCAAGAACCCAACAAAAGAAAGGCTAAAAATATAGAAGAGGAAGAAGCAGACGAAACGACGGCGACAGCTTTGTCCTCTTGGGGCGCAGGCCAGCCGCCGAGGGATCCAGGGCGGTAAGGTAGATGTGAAGGCCTGGGGCGGAGCTGGGGCGCGGGAGGTGGAGCTGGTGGGGCAAGGTGAGGTGAATCCCAAACTGGCCATGACCACAGTGAGACGTTGGAGGGGAACTGAAAGGGCCCCATGTGTTTCGAGCGTGCCAAGGAACCCACGCGACGATTGCCTAAACGTATCAAGGGGTCCAGAATTGAGGTGGACTACACCAGCAATACCAGCGGACTCATATACTAACTTGGATGACAAAAAAAAGACCTTGATCAAGGGGCCAAAATCAAATCTGTCTGAATGAGGCGCTGCTTCCCTGGACAGTGATTCTGTTCAGAAGGTAGTTTCCACACATAGCTGCTCATGGGGAGCGGGTGAGAGAGAGTGAGAAGGAGAAAGAGAGAAATGGACATAAAACTATAGCTAATTATCTAGGATATCACACGGAGGGAGCAAGGCAAAGGCTTGTGCTAAGAGTCCGATCACAACTGGCAGCAGTCCGCGTAGTGGGCGGCTCAGGCTTGGGCATGGTGATTCGTCAACGCTATGATGAAATTGTCCTGTAGTCGCATGCAGCCTTCTGTGTACGTGCACAATTTGGTGTGCGGAACAAAAATGAAGCGTCCCTTTGCGGATGGCTGCAAGGGAAAGTTCATTTTTTGGGGGTTTGCTGTTTGCTTTCTAAGAGAAAGTGCCCCTTGATACTTGTGTCCCATTTCGTCATTCTGGCTTCCCTCTAAAACCGCAAGGGGCCCAAAACAAGACAGACCCAAACAGGGAAAAACGTCTCCTGGCGCATGATGACGTTGGTGATCTCGAGGGCGTTCAACTCATCCTGGACTCTGCAGAACCGGGATTCCTGGCAGCAACGCTTCAGGTGGTTGGAATGCCAAAAAGAAGCGGATCCGCCCAGTGCGCAAAGTATCTTTGTAATGAGCACCCGAAGGTTGTGAAATAGGGACAACTCCTGGGTTGCATGTCCGCCATCTGAGGGTTGCTTTCAAGGGCTCCTTGACTTGACCCGTGCACTGAAAAGATTAGCGCATTGATTGGCGCCATTCTCACTGTCTTGCTTGGTTGGTCTTTCTTGGGGTCCGCAAAATATTGGCAACAACTTGCCTCTTTGGGACGAACTTGAACCAATGCCATCATTGCTCACAGTGCACATCACCCTTACTTGCTTCCATGTATCTGTACGTCCCTGTAGGCCAAAGGTGCACCAACCCTGAGGCCTCACTTGCCTAAAGGTCAACCGTTTGGGACCTTGACTAATGATCATGTTGTTCAGTCCCCTGCGGACTGAGCTGAGAAACCCCCAACAAGCCCATCACCGATCCCTCACTGAGAACCCCTTCGCCCGTACCGGAACCCCAAGGCCCGCTTGGCACATTCATTTGTTTTTTCCTATTTTTCTTAAAGAGCCATTGGATACTTAAATCCAACAAGGATATTGGGAGAGACCTGGCCCTCTTGTTCCCCTCGTCCCAAGCCGGCTATTTTTGGGTTCGGCCTTCTGACGCTGCACCAGGCGCGACACCACCTCGGACCAAAGCATCGTCTCCAGGGACTCGTCCGACAAGATGCCCAGCTGCTCCTCCCATTTTGGGGTGTCTTGGTTTGATGCTTGGTACCCATTTTGGCCGCGGGTTGAAAGGAAAACGCATGTAGAACATGATCCCGGCGCGGATTCCTAGCTTGAGAACTCATTTGGATCGGCCATTTGCTGGGAGGGAATCAACTGGCATGGGAATAAACCGCTGCTCCAAGAAAACATTTGGGGATGGTTCGGTTCGGGCTCAGTCCTTTCCCAGCACAACTTCGGACATGGGCTCGAAATGAAACCAGAAAATGTGAGCTCCCGTTTGGTCATGCAAGACAAACCGAGTGAAAGACACAGGGCAACACTGGGATTTCGTGAAACCCAAGGAAACCGGGGTACAGCACTGGGCATGGTTTCGCCAAAAAAAGGCGCACCCTAAATCGATTTCCCAGGTGGTGGAAGACTACCTTCCAGAGGGCTTGGCATCACGGTTCCTGCCTTCCAAGGTTTTCCACCAAAACCCAAGGGAACAAAAAGGAAACTGCTGTGTAAATTGTCTGTATTTGTTTGTTGCTTTGAGGCATGTGTGAAAAGACACCTGTCTGCATTCTGTTCGGAAGCATTCCTTTGTGTCCAAAAAAGACTCGATAATCCGGAAAGAAGGAAACAGAGCTCCAATTATTAGACAGTTTTTCCATTGGATGAAGCCTGCCCAAATCCAAAAGAAAACAAAACCTTCCACAACCAAAAAGAAACTAAAAAACAAACAAAATCCTCAAAAACTCTTGTTATAAGTAACCTGCCCCTGTGCCAAGAGCACTGGGAAGATGGTTCTGAGTTCTTTAGTTTTTGGCTGTGTGTTTTCGGTGTGTTTGGCTTTCTCGAGGACTTGTGGTTGTTGGCCTTCGGCAGGGCTGATCAAGTGCAACTTATCTATATAGAGGTATTCCTACGTGCTTGAACAAAATGCGGATAAATACCAATCAACATAATCTGAAATGGAATATGTCCTGTGTAAAAGCATCAAGAAAATGAAAACCAAAAAGAAAATAAAGAAAACATGAATTGAACTGTGAAGCTCTATTCAGGAGCGAAGTCTATGAAAATTCGGAATCTGTTTTTCTTGATTGAGTCCTACTTACATGTTAAGTAAATGTTAGAAAGCGGCCGTTGCTTGAAGATGTGAAAATAGTACACAAGACGCTACAAAACACGGCTGTAAGGCTAGGTAAAAACACAATGTTGGGACTTCTGAATTATTCCCTTACGAGATTCTACTTAATATCTTTATCAAATCTACTCAAACCTAGGTGGTTTCAAATAGAATTGAATAAGGACAGAATCCAATCAGAATGACCATGTGAAATAGTATTTAAAGTTTAAAATTTTAAACAAACATATTTCTGTTCCAAAATAAATCGTACACGGGATTTTTGTTCTAATCGAAGTTTCCTTACAAATTAGTTGCCATTCAAACACAATGTATTCAAATATGAGACCTCTGAACCCTTTCCTTATGAATCTATACCTAACATCTTTATCAAGTTCTACTCAAGTTCTAGCTGAATTTGAATAAAATATAGAAAGAAAGGAATCCAATCAGATCAGAATGTCTAGCTACATTAGAATGTAAATAATAAGTACTCTATTCTACATTACTAACTGTAGAGAAATTGTTTTCCAATATTATCTTCTTTGCAAATCAGACAATCTACTCAACAGTTGCTCTATGTTGAGCAAGCGAGGGCAACCAGCAAATACAGACCTGCATGCACAAGCAAATCGAAATATAGCAAAAAATGCATGCCAGAGTCCCCTGCCCTCTCATCAAAGGCAGGCGTTACCTCCATTTGTCTCTTTTCCGGATGCGGACACCAAAAATGGTGATTTTCCTTTTGGTGTTCTTCAACAACATGGTACCCTCAAAAAAGGACACACCCACCTTCAGAAGTTCGGTTAGCGGTCGCACCGGTTTCTCTCTGCGAAGCAGAACTGGCTCCTGATAGAATCTCCGGGTGAGTCGAGCTTGCTTGTAGACCGACCACATCTGAAAGACCTGGAGCCCAGCTGGATAGTGGCTGCACCTAAGCAACCCAATACAAATGAATCTTAAGCTTGTTGGACCCTTCGGTGGGCATCATTTACATGGGGACGTCTGATGATTTATGTCCAAAAACTTGTGAGGGTCCATTTCATTGTTCATGAATCAGCTCGGCCAAGACACGTTGAAGAACCAGTACAAGGTGAAGATCAACGTGCAAGTTAGTACCTCGGCAACGCCATAGGGGATGTCTCAAATCTGGAAAATTGTTTCGAGCTTTTGTTCGAGGGAGCCAAATGAAATCGTTGAGACACACCTGGGACAAGCTTCGGCAGGCTCGGGCTGCGGCACCCCAGCGGCTTGGGCTAATGTTGCACCAGGGCTGGGTGTACCAAAGAGACACCACCCGGCATGACCTCGACGTCAAGCAAGACAATAATCGACTCAAGAAGCAACTAGAAGCACAAGCCATGAGTCCGCGCCACAACACTTTTGGACTTGGGAAGGTGTAGCAGCGGGTCCTCAAGTGTCCAAACCACCCCCCACAGGTCTCATTCTCTTACCATCGAAAACATGCCAGAGGCAGAATGCCTAGACGCAGTCCCGAAGAAACAAACTGAGAGCAGAGCTCTTCAGAGTCGCACGCCAACACCGCCTCCCAATCGATCAGAAACAGCCTGAAGGCCGCGATGTCTGTGTGTTGCATGGGGCAGTGAAACACTGTCGTCTTGAATCACAATAGAGATGTCCGCAATCTCAGAAGTCATAATTGCCGGATGCTAAAAAAACGGCAATCGCTTTGCAGGAAGTTTGGGGGTACTCGTGCCGAGCTCGTCCAAAGGTGTGCCACCAGTAAGCGCCCGGCAAGACGAAAAAGAACAAAATGGTGAAAGTCAGGGCAACCATATGCCTCAATGCACGCACGAGTCTGCTTCCCAACACCACATTGGAAAGTTGGGTCCCTGGTGTTCCTGCGGTTGGCCCCTCATGTCTACAATCAATACAAGCGCTCAAATGACTTGTCCACAGCCTCCAACTTGCTGGGAACCCGGGGATCCAGGTATGATGCGTTATTCTGCGGTTACCTTCGGGTTTGCGAATTGCAAGTGCAACGAAACACAAAGATATCCAATGAATGTGTTTTCAGGGTCCGTCAGCGCCCCAAGACAAGCAGCGCAAAAAACCTAAACCTGCGAGGTGCAGAATTGCAGGTCCTATGAGGCAATTCATCCGCCCGGAAAAGAACATCGCCGAGGCAGTCGCGACACATTGGGCGCCACGATGCCCAGGAAGCCCTTGACCTGCGCGAGCAATTTGAAACGCGTCCAGACCTCGTGTGTGTGTGTGGATTTGGTGGATGGCCCACGAAATTCTTTCTCGGGCACCCGTTCCCATCGCTTAGATCTTTCTTTTCCTCTGTTTCCAAGGAAGGAAGTTGAAGACTTGAGGACTTTTCTCGTTGGGTCCCCAATTTTAGGGAGCACTCAGCTTTCACTCTGGTTGCCCCAAGGCCCTGGACCCACCACAGAAAGATATAAAGTGCAAAAAGAAATGCGGCCCTACGAATCACCGAACTGCATCCCAGTGTGGCGACACACCAAAACAAACAACACCCAACTCACCCAACCATCAAGACCCACACAGAACGTCTTTCCTGATCCAACACATGCAACCCCCTTCCAACCCCCTTCCAACCCCTTTCGGAACCCACCACACGTTACCTGCCTCGAAGTATCTGTACAGGCCCTGCAAGAAGGCCTCCAGGTCCTGCGGGGCTTCCCAGCCCGCGGGGCCTGCGCGAGCGAAAAGCTCGGGGGCTTCGGCTTTGCAGCCTCTTCAGAATCCCGGGTGGTTCGGAGGGGTTTGGGGTTTGGGGCCGACCCACCAAAGGGGATCTCAAAAGGGGGGTTGGATTGGTGGTTTAGGGGGTTGAACCCCAGGTCCTTTTGAAAGGTGACCCCCATCCACCAAACCAAACCACCCCTTTGCGGTACGGTGGTTGCCGGAATTCGAAGCCGAAACCCAACATAAAAAACCCACCCCGTTGGTGTTTGGCAAGAAGCAGGTTCAACTCAATTCGGCAAAGCCCGTACAGGAAGGCGGCAAGGGACACTGACTTAAGCCTGGAGAAGGGAATCATCGCTCGTCCATACATCGTTCATACGCTCAAATTCGGCACCATGTTCTTTTTGCTTATCCAAGGATGTGACGAGAAGCACAAGCCGCCGCGGAAGAACTCCAAGTTGAAGAACTCCAAGGTGAACCAAGGAAACAATGGGCCCCACAAATGGCTACAGTGGAATTTTGGGTTCCGCCGTCCCCAAGAGCGACCGTGGTTGCTGGCACCCCACATAATCAGGTTGGCTGGTTGGTCAACAGAACAACCAAAACATACGGTTTGACAGACCGCTGGGGCGTGCGACAAGCTTAAGTTTACACCTTCAACTTCCGAGGGATTAGATCTGCGGACAATGTTTTCAAGAATCGAGAAACCAAACCCAAAGAAGAAAACAGTTCTCCGAAACGCTGCTGGAGGTCCCCGATGCTTCCCGACCCCGCGGACGAGAGCCGAATGGGTTGATCCTTAACGTAAAGCTGCGAACCTTTTTGCATTGCTCCCGTGTCACTGCAAGTCGCGGCTCTGGTGACCTGTGCAACCTTCTCCAGCCGGGTGTTGGACTCTCACGGAACGAGTCAAAATGTGTCGAACCTACTCGCATCCTGAGAGAATGGCTTCAAAATGACCTGACCAGGAAGTAGTCCAAAAGATGGAAGTGGGAGAAACAAATTAAAGCTTTTGCAAAGTCGCCTCCCTCCCCCATGTTTGACTTTGCCAACCCCAACAAAAGTCAAATAATGTGCCAAGTCAATTTCGGCTGACGGAGACCGGAAAACGCTGAAAGTCTGGGGCCCTCGCTAGAAGCTGGCCTCAACACCGCAGATGCAAAGCGCACAAAGCGCGCTGATGAGGGAAGCTACAAAGTCACACCCATGAAACTTCACCTGAAACAGGCCGCCCAAGTCGGTACGAAAACAGAACAACCGCTTGGGGCAAAAATGGACTGAACCAAAATGCATTCGGATGGAAATCAGCTGGCAAGCAAAGGTGGTTGTAATACGTGTTTGCTTTTCAAACCATCCTGGGTTGGCCGATGAGCTCAAAGAGGACATTAAAAAAGGACCCATCATGTGGTTTACTGGCCACATATTTCTCCGTGTTTTCGCAGGTGGGACTTTCTGCCACTGTGTGGGTACCATTCGGATGAAGCCGATATGGCCCAGCCCGTCAGCCAACTGAGCACCTCACCCCTCCAGCAACGGCCGGTACATGTCAACGATCCATCACGGTGCAGCAAAAGCAGCCCAAGGGGCGCTGCCCGAAGAGTGGCCCAGGAAGCCGGCCCTTGGCCGAATTTCAATACAAGTGAACCTGGCAGATATGGTTGTCCCAATGTTTCTCCGCATTTGAAAGCAGGCCAAACCCGAATATGTCTGCATTTCAATGTGATTTGGCAGGATAGCGAATACCTGGCTGCCGCTGTCTTGGACATTTCTTTGTGTCAAATCCCACCCTGCGCAGGTGTTAAAGCCAAATCGGCTACTGGAAGAGGAGCCAATCCAAATTTATACCAACAACAAGAGCGCCCAACCCACCACAAGGTAGCACGTTTCAGCACAAAATCGAGGCTTTGATTTGTTCGGTGAAGCGCCCGCTGGCATTTTACAGTTCGATGCCAATGTCAAAGGAGCATCACTGGTTGCATGCCAAAATGAATTTAAAAAAATGCAGAGCCCACGAACCCGAATGCACATCACTTTGCGCAAACCCAAGAGAATAATTAGAGAGAACATTTTTCGGTATAAGCCAATGGGGCTCGCAATCAAGCCTACTGCGCAAACTATGTTTTCAGCTTGTAAAACTGCACGTTGCGAGCTCCACTCGTTGCTACCAAGCTACGATTTTCAATCTGCAGCTGGACACTTGCCCTTCGCGCGCTAGACTTGCACTACAAAGTTAAGGCATGTTGCACTGCTCCTATCTTGAACCCAAACCAGACCACCCAAAAGAACAAAGCGAGTCCGAAGCGGCCGCAGTTCTTTTAACCGGGATTGCTGAAAGTAGCACTGCTTCCAGGGCACGGATGCGCCTGGAGCAGGAGGTGCGTTGACCCCCCGTGAAACTTAAAGGCAAGACAATGCGTGTCCTTGCAGGCGCGTGCAGTGCGCGCAAGGCGTGGCAAGCGTGCCCACGCCGGTCCGGAGACCTGGTGGTCCTGAGACCGTGGGCGGTCCGGAGACCCGGAGGTCGTGCGGCTGGCACGGAGGTACCAAGGCTACGCGGAACCCGCTTTGTTGAGGACGACCTGGCAGGAGACCCCGAGGCCGGCGCCCTGCCAGCAACGGTCAGGGGCCGCCCTCCATCACGGAACGTCTGCCAGCACGGCCGACGGCGCTCAGGCGGCAGCGGACCTCATAGGCGCAGGGCAGCGGGGCTTGCAGCCGCGCAGGCCTTCCGCTCTCAGCTGCCCCAGGACGCAGCTGAGTACGTGCGCCTGAACGTGCTGCCCCGTCCGGGCCAGCCGCAGCCGCCTCCGCAGATCATCGGCCGGCCCAGTGACGTGGAGCGCCTCCTGGACGAGGCGGGGCAGCGCGCGCAGAAGGTGGAGCGTGGCGCAGCGCAGGCCATCGAGGAGACGGCGGCCGTGGCTGCGGAGGAGGGTGCGTGGGCGGAGCCTTCGGGTACCTGGGGGGCCTGGCTGAAGGAGCAGCAGCCCTGGCGCCCACCGCGGGCGAGGTTGCTGGAACGCTGGCTGGCGCGGCGGGAGTCGGCGCGGCAACGGCGGGGCTGCCGTGGGCATCGCAGGCGGCGCAGCCTCGGCCTGGCCCGCGGCACGGGCTGGGTGCTGGAGAACACGCTCTTCCGGCCTCAGCAGGGCAGCGAGGACGCGGCCGTGCAGGACGTCCGGTCCGCCAACAACATGAACGACGCCACGCAGCCTCAGCACTTCACGCTGCGCAGCGGCAGCAGCACGTCCGGCAGCCCCGCAAGCAGCCGCGCCTCCTCGCAGTCTGGCTTCCGTGTTCAGGCGCAGTCCAACACGCCGCGCCGGCCCTGCCCCAGTCTCAGCCGAGCTCGCGGGCGAGCTCCAGTTCCGGGCAGTCACGCCGGAGCCTGCCTCCGCCCAGCTTTGACCAGGACATTGAGGCTGCTTAAAAAATGCACGGTTTTGCACGGTTTTGCGCTGCAAAAATGCTGGGTGCACATGTACCTAGAGTAATAGCTTTTTTCCACGGTTTCGCCGTACGACTCAAAATGCGTGTATATAAACAAGCATGGAGGTAGTCACCGCCGGAGCCCAGGATGAGCTGATGCAGAGCCTGGACTACAAGCTGAAAACAAGCAACACCAGCCACGTGACGGCGCGGCACGACGTGCAGTACTTCCCCAGCTCGCTGAGCTCGTTCTCCCCCACAACCTCTCGGGTCTGCCGCATCCCGCTGACCAGCGGCACGTCCTTCATCGACCCCGAGTCGATCAAGATCGCCTTCCGCGTCAGGAACACGGACGGCACCAACCCGCTGGCCCCGGCCACGCCCAACCCCGCCTGCTTCGTCCAGCGCGTCCAGGTCTTTGCCAACGGCCAGCGCTGCGACGACATCAACTACTACGGCCGCACCGTGGCCGTGCACGACCTGCTGAAGGGCCGGGAGTACAACCGCAACAAGGCCATGGAGGGTTTCGACGAAGTGAACGACCCGCGCATCGCCCGCGCGGTGCACCAGGGCGGCTACGCGGACGTGCTGCTGCGCCCCACCATGGTGGGCATCCTGCGCTGCGGGAAGATGCTGCCGCCGCAGCTGAACCTGGTGATAGAAATCGAGTTCGCGGACGCCACGACTGCGCTGTGGTCCGAGAACGCCGGGGCGCACCCGTCCGGAGCCACGCTGAGCACCGACTTTGAGATCCAGAACGTCCGAGTTCTGGCCTCCCAGGTCGTCCTGGACTCTGCGCTGGTAGAGTCCTTCAACCGCGTGCTCCTCTCAGGAAGGTCCCTCGTGTTCAGCTACCCCACGGTGCACACGCAGCAGTCCAGCGTCCCGAACGGCGTGGCGGAGCACAACGTCACCGTGGCGCGCGCCTTCACGAAACTCATGGGCGCGTTGTGACCTTTTGGGACAACGACGCGGGCTCCAAGATCCACTTGCTGGCCAACCCGGGGCAGGACGTGGCCCCCATCGGCGCGGCCAGGCAGGAGGACAGCCTCCTGGAATCGCAGATGCAGCTGGGCAGCCTGCAGTACCCTCACAACCCCATGAAGGGAGCCTCGGAGCACTTCCACTTCCTCTCCGTCCTCGCGGGTACTTACGACGACACGGTGCGCAACATCGACATCGGCCGCGTGGGCTACCTGCGCCACAGCTTCATTGCCGGCTTTCCTACCGAGCGCGTGCCCAAGATGCCACTGAGTGGTGTCAGCACCCGCTCGGGCGACCTTGCCCGGTTCACCTTCAAGGGCCTGGACGGCACGATGACGGACCTGTTCATCCACCTGGTGGCCTACCAGCTGGTGACGCTCTCCGGCACGGGCGTCTCTGTGCTGGACTAAAAAAAAAGGCCGGTGTCCCTCTTCTTCGTTTTTTGAGTGACACCGCCCAAAAATGGAAAAAAAAAGGCCCGGTGTCCCTCTTAGCCTTTTTTTGGCGTTGAGGGACACCGCCAAAAAACCAGCAAAAACACGGAAAAATGGAGTTGTTCCAGGCCGCTCGGATTGGAGGAAGCCAGAACGGCCTAGTCCGGAATGCTCAGCCGCTCCGCAAGCTCCGCCGTGGCCGCGCGCGCAATCTCCTCGCACAGCGCAGCAGGAACGCTGTAGAGCAGCTCGCGTGGCTGCTGGCTGACCCTCTCGTACTGCCCCTCCATCAGCCGCGGCCCCCGCTGCGCGGCGCGGAGGTGCCTGCCGTCCTGCCACGCGCCGCAGCGGCTGCCGGGCCTGCACAGGCCTCGCCTCGGCCTCCAGCGCATGTTGGTCCACAGCCGCGTCTGCTTCCTGTACGGAGTTCCGTACTTGCAGTAGGTCACGTCCACCCAGGGCAGGCGCTCCATGAACGGCCGGGTCTTCAGCAGCCCGGTGGCCGGGTTCTCGACGACCCACATGAGCGGGCCAAAGTGCGCAATGATCTCAAGGGCGCTGAGCACCAGCGCGTCGCCCTCCAGGAGCCGCCGCGGGCGCGTCGTCAGCGCGCGGCTGTATTCCGTGCAGACCGGGCTGGCCCAACCATGTCGAAGTGCCCCGGCGGGAACGTCGTGTAGTCCCAGCTCCGGATGTCGCACAGGATGGTGGGCTCAAATTTCGACACGATGTCCAGGGAGACGACCTCCCAGCCCGCCGCCTCGAAGGCCCTGCCCACCGACTTGGTGCCGCAGAATAGCTCCAGGAGCCTCGGCATTTTTAAAGAGCAAGATCACCGCCACTGCGACGACCAAGAAGACTCGCGCGTTCATCGGACCGGATTTTTTTTTCTTCTCGTGGACGTTCAGACCAATGCCAAGGGGGGGAAGTTCATGTCCATAGAGGACTCCCATCAGGGCGCGCTGGTGTGCAAGGTAGACGTGGAGGTGCTGTGGGAGCCCGGCAACCTGGAGCTGTGGACGGAGGAGGTGGAGCAGGGCGTCATCGACAACATGATCCTCTTCCAGAAGGGGCCGCCCGCACCGAGCTTGAGAGCCAGCTGCAGCGCGCCGTCAAGGTGAGCGCCAAGGGCAAGCACGTCAAGCGCAAGATTGACTTGGAGCGCTGCCTCTTCTGGGACCCGGCCGGCAACCGCGTGCCGCGCCCCGCGGAGTTCGCGCGCCGCAGGGGCCGCGCGCTTGTGGAGGCCCGGCACGTGTGGCTGATGGGCAGGCAGTGGGGCGTGCTCTTTGAGGTGCGCCACCTCATGCTGGAGCCCCTGGAGGCGCCGTGCTGCCCGTTCGGCTAGGCCGCCTCCAGCAGCTCGGAGCTCGTCGCCCTTGAGGCGCCCACGTACAGGTGGCGCAGGTGGCAGGACTCCAGGTCCAGGCGGACGCGGTTGTGGAGCAGTGGCTCGGCCGGGTGGCCCGCAGCAGCTCCTGGTTCTTCAGCCGCATGCCGTTGTCCAGCCTCACTCCGTCCGGCTTCCGCCACGGCCACAAAGACCCTTTTGGGTATCTTTCCGCCGGCCCCGGCTGTTTTGGGTTGGTACCGATTCGTGGCACCCCAAATAGCAGCTTTGAGGCCTCCGGCGCCAGGGCCGCGGTTCGCCGCTAGCGTGGTGTCCGGCCACCCGGGCTGGGAGGGGTTCAGCCTCGCCTTGGCCTGCTCCAGCGTGGGGCACCCCTCCTCGCCGACCCGCAGCCACTTCACGAAGTCGAAGATGCCGGGGTCGGAGCGCATGTTCT